TTTAAAAGTTTGAACTTGAAATATGTTCCTGAACTCTAGTATTTTTACATATGGACGAATATAGTTGAAAAAATAAGTTGGATTTTGTTAAAGATTTTACAGTACTGAAAAGACAGAAAATATAATAGTCTATAAATACTTATTGTAAATTAGTTCTAACAGGTAAGATTAACCAGTTTCTTCCTGCAGGTGAAAGCTTTGAGGTTTCCTAAATGTAGAGTTGAATATTCTACATGTGTAGTGGAAGAGTAAATGAAAATTAAAAGAGGAATTTTTTTCATTCCATCTTTATATCTGTTTAAAGTTAATTATTTTATCCTTGCTACCTAACTGGAGTCTAGCATATTATCAGTATTTAGATTAAGTAAATTGTGCTTTTTTGGGAATTCTTGCTCAATATTTTTTTTTTCCTAGGACCTCGACTGGATTTTGATCCTGACATTGTTGCAGCTCTTGATGATGATTTTGACTTTGATGATCCAGATAATGTGCTTGAAGATGACTTTATCCTTCAGGCCAATAAGCCAACAGAAGAGGAAGAGGGAATGGAAATTCCGTATGTGTGGTTTGTTCCAAAGCAAAGATGACCTGACTTGCTTCTTCAGTAGGGGGGTAACCACATTATAGTTGGGAAGAGACCTGCAAGAGCACTTAATCTGAGACTTACTCTGAGTCTCCAGGTGTTTGCCAGCTGCTGATAGGTGCAGCTGAAGTCTAAGAATCTGTTTACCCCTTCCTTGTTTTTCTTACCCTGCCAGGTTGGTCAAGCAGCATCTCTGTTCTGCCTACACAGGAACCTTTCCCACATACCCTCTGGTTTTATTTGTGTAAAGTTTCCTTGTTTTGTTGGTTTTTTGAAGTTGTTTTGACAGGGAATTGGTGGCTCTCTGGCTGCAGGAAATCTGAGAGTGGAGACGACAGTGAGTGGGAAGACATGGATGATGAGACCGGGAGAGGCGGTGCTGATGAGGGTGACTGTGACTCTGCAGGCCCGTGGTCAGATGAAGATGCGCCGTTTCCCCCTGGAGAACCTCACGGGGCCAGAGAAAAGCATTTGTTCTGGGAGGAGGAAACAAAAAGCCGCTTCACAGAGTATTCTATGACTTCCTCAGTCATGAGGAGAAATGAGCAGCTGGCTCTCCATGATGAGAGGTTTGAGAAGGTCAGGTCCCCCAAAATGGCATTTTAGTACTGCCTCCTAGTAAATGTCATTGTTGGAAAAGAGCGAAATTAGAACCAAAGGCTAAAACTATCAGGAGCAGAAATAACTGCCTTTTTAAAAAAAATTAAAACATAAAGCCACTGTAGTTTTAGTTCTGGAAGGAATAGTATAGTCCCAAAATGTTGGCTGGTTAAAACATTCTGACACTTCTGAGTACTGACATTTTGTGAATTTTTGCTGATTTCCTAAAACATTGCCCTGAGCATAAATGAAATCCCTTTTCTTTCAGTTTCTCATATCTGGAGTTTTCAGACAAAGCAACACTTAACACAAAGGAAATTTTCAATACCAGATACTCTAAAGGGCTGAACTATAGCATGTTGGACTTGGCTCTGCTCTGACAGAGCAGCTCCGGGGCTTACAGCTCCATCCTGTGGACTGTATATTACACAGGCTCACTCCCACCTGTGCTGCCCAGGGGCTCCCACCCTGCCATCTTGGATGTGTTTATTTTGTGTGTTTATGGGTTTCTGATGTGTATGTTGTGTATGAGTTTGTTTCAGAGTAGAATGCAAGTTCCCCAAGGGCAGAGGTTCTTGTGTGTGTCACTGGTACATCCCAAGCCCTGAAGGGCTGTCTGGGCCATAGTAGGAGTTCACACTGTTCAGTAAATGATGGCAGGAAAGAGTGGTCCCCTTCAAGAGGAACCCAAGATACGGGTTCCAACTTACCTGCATCTTCAGGAAGTATTAGTTTCCTTCTCTTGCAAGAGCAGCCAGCTGTTAACTTTTCACTAATCAGGAAATAGATCACCACCTGAGTATTCTGTGACAGAGCCCAACAGTGCTAATAGCATTTGAATAACACAGTGAATACCATGTAAACAAGCATGAAATGTATACATTAGTAGGAGGCTGTATTCAATTACATGATCTTTTAGTCTGCATAACCGAGGAATTTCAAAATACTCTTTGAATATTCTGACATAAAGATTTCTGCCAAGCATTTTTTAATCCAAGCTAAATAGAATAACTGTTTTCCCTTTCCATGTTAAAAAGGAGCCTGTCTTCAGTCTGCATGTGAATCTGGCAGGAACTGGCCCTGTTGTCATTACTAATATTTTCATTAAATTACCATTAGCTGTGATCTTATGGTAGTGCTTAAAAATATGTGGGATAAAAATACCATCTAAGTACTGTATTTAATGAGTACATTTATTTTTCATGATATCTGCTTTCTATTTATATTCCAGTTTTATGAACAGTATGATGATGTTGAGATTGGAGCTCTGGATAATGCTGAATTGGAAGGTTCCATTCAGGTAGACAGCAACCGCTTACAGGAAGTTTTGAATGACTACCATAAAGAGAAGGCTGAGAAGTATGGTGACATTTTTTCTTGTTTATTTGCTTTTATTCCATCTCCAATTAGGATCTGTACTTGTACAACTAAATTGCGGGGAAAGATCCACCTAGTCAAAATCTATCATCAAGGAAAAAATACATTGTGCCTCATATACTGTTTATGAGTTTTGCCTATGTTTAGAATTGAGTTCTGAAGCTAAATGTGACAGTAAGAAAATACAGGGAACTACTACCTCGGTCCCGCTGACTTGAGAAGAGTCGTAGTAGGATAACTGGGTCAGTGCGGAGTATGAAGACATTCCAGTTGGAGAATAGGATGGTGCTTCTAGTCTCTAGCTAAAGAATTATTTTGACGTATAAGTATCCATTTTTTTCATCTTTCTGAAATGCTAGGAGTTCTTAGATGCCAATAGCTGCAACATAAAAATAAGAGTTTTTCTCTCCAGTTGAATTAGCAGAACGGACCAGTGTATTATTATTTGGCAAATCAGCATCTGCATCAAGTTGACTTCTGTGGGAGACACTGGAGAGGTGTTTAAATCTGGTAGAAAGGGCTAGCTCCGTGATCATTGTATGTGCGGATCCTACAGCAGGAAAAGGGGTTACGTAGTTTGAAGTTTGCACATACCTTGAAGACGGACAGGCCAGTTCTTTTCTAAGTTTTAAGAAAAGCCTGTCATAGGGAAGCCCCCGTCATCTTTGATGTGTAGCTCTTTCTAACATTCCAAAGAGGCAGATCCCTCAGCGGTTAGCAGAGTGAATGTCCAGAACACAGCGGGAGGGAGAAGCAGGGAAGGTTACAGCCAGATGTGACAGTAAGTGACACTTGGTCACGGGAGCATGTGGATTTTAAAAATTGCTATTTTCATAGCAGTTTTAGTAACAATAATAATGAGTGTTGTTTTTCCCCTTTATTTTAAAAAATTCAACCCAAAGTTGTATAAAGCTGAATACTCTTGAACCCTTTGAGGATCAAGACCTGCCATTGAATGAGCTTGATGAATCTGAAGAAGAGATTATTACTGTAGTTCTTGAAGAAACCAAAGAGAAGTGGGATTGTGAATCCATTTGCAGTAAGTGTCAGTGTCTTCTGCTAAAATTGTGGCAGTAATTTTACAGTGTTAAGTACATCAGTTTTGAAAAGTGCATATGTTTTAGTAGAAGTTAAGCTTTTAGGCAATTTGTAAAGAGTAATATTCCCATTACTGAGTTATAAACTGTTTTAAAACATTTTATAGGAGAGACTCCAGTGTTATTCTGCACTATGAAAACACCAAGGTCAGGAATATAATAGGAGTGTAGTAATGTTTGCTGAACTGGAAGTGTACTTACTGATACACGATTTCTTTTTAAGGTACATACTCAAACTTATACAATCATCCACAGCTTATCAAGTATCAACCAAAAGTAAGTCTGAGTGTCCTGAAAATGTTTTGAAATACCTAATACAGGGATTGGAGTGTACACATTTTCTCACAATAAATTTAACCCTTTGTGGCTAAGCACTGTCAGCGTCGTTGATGAGCTACATTTAATGGGAATAGGAAATAACTGTAGTTCTATCTTGTCTTTATTTCAGCCGAAACAAATTGACATATCTTCTAAAACAGGAATACCTCTCAATGTCTTACCTAAGAGAGGACTCACAGCAAAGCAAGTTGAACGAATGCAGATGATTAATGGCAGTGATCTGCCTAGGGTATCAACCCAACCACGTTCTAAACATGAAAGCAAAGAAGATAAAAGAGCAAGAAAGCAAGCTATAAAAGAGGAGCGCAAGGTAGAATAGTTTCCAAGTTTACAAAGAGTTGGTGGAGGGGAAGTTGAATTTTTTTTCCCATGTAAGTAGTCTGTATCATGTTAAGGACATGTGTAACTTACAGAGCCTCTTGTACAGGAACGAAGAGTGGAGAAGAAAGCTAACAAATTAGCATTCAAGCTGGAGAAGAGAAGACAGGAAAAGGAGCTGCTGAACTTGAAGAAAAGTGTTGAAGGTCTAAAGCTATAGACATGGCCCTGTGAGGCTCAGGCACATTCCCTGTCAGGGCTTCTCATTATGTTCCGTAATCAGCCAGGATCTTCAGAGGCAACTGTACTCTGCATTTTCCCTGGCAGATGTCGAAGAGAAATATACAATACTTACAGTATTTTTATACCAGCAAGTTCTCCCTGTCAACTGTCTTGTAAATATTGTAACATTTTAAATTTAAATTATAAGCTTAGATTTACTCTGAAATAAATGACTTCATGAATACAAAATGTTTGGATAAAGGAAAATATCTTCATAACTTGAATGGAAGTGGCATACTCATTTATTTGTATGGTTCTCATAGTTGTTTTTTGCAGATGTTCTCAAATATTTCTTTGAAACCTCTCCATGCCTTTTCAGGAATTTCATGGTTTAATTCGCTGTGTGTAGAAAAGTGGCCTGGTTACACTCAACTTTGAAATGCTGAGTTTATCTTGCTCAGTGGTAAGAAGAGTCTTCCTGAGAAGATTCCACTGGTAGGAAGCTGTTTTCCCTCTCTGTATACAAAAGGACCATTTCAAAGGGAGGATAAAACCGAATATTAAAGTTGTTAGAATTCAGATTTCCTGTTATATTTCTGGATGACTTTTGGGATTTCAGAACAGTGAAGGCAGGAAACAGAATAGTTGAAGAAGTAATGAAGAAAACTACTTTGGCTTTAGGGAATCCCTAGCTCAAAATCAGAAATATTTACTTCAGTTTAAACTAGAATGTTGTCAACATAATTTAATGTTTGGAACCTTTTTTATCCGACAGATACATAGTTGAAAACTTTCCATGTTTTTGATGGGATGTTTTTGTTTTAACATCCACAAACTGTTTGAGGTTAGGCAGTTGACACCATCACAGTGGCTCATTATTTGGTAGCCTGTGCCTCTGTCAGTGACTGCTGAGCTCCCTGGACTGTAAAAGCTGTGGTCACTGTTGGTCTGACTGAGGACTGCTATGTCTGGGGCAGAACCATTTTTGGCAGGTAAGCTACATTTGATATCTAAATTATTGGAAGTGTTTTTGTCTCTAATTCATTTTAGTGTGGCTTTTCCAAAGTTGAGGTAATCTTGTTCTATCAAGGGTTACCAGTTTAAATCTAAATAAGTTATTATAGAATCCGGGAATGGTGATGCACACGTGTAACTCCAACATTCTGGGAAGCTGAGGCAGGAGGGCTACGGTTCAAGCGTAGCCTGGGTAATTTTTGACTTAGCCGTACTCTGTCTCAAAAATTTTTTTAAAAGGGCTGGGGATGTACCTCAGTGAAAAGACTCTGGATTCAAAGCTTAGTTGTGGAAAAAAATGATTAGTGCAGGATTTTTCAGAGTTGTAAAAAGAATTGCATTGGGTATTCTACCAACATTCATTTTTATACAAAACTTGGCTGTAGAAATAGATGTAGAATACTGAAGAGTTTTAAGTGCCGACCTACAAAAAGGGGGAGGGGGTCGCAATTGATGGTTTATGCATTAGGAATTTAAGTCCTGAAAGGGCCAGGGACTTATTTTGGTGGCTGTCTCAACTGAGGACTCCTAGGACCAGCAAGCCTTAAGACACTGGCTGTCATTTTGTCCCGGTGGTGTTTATATTTATGTAGGGCAATGGTGGCGGGCCTGTGTCACAGCAGACTGTTGGTATCATCGAAAGCTCTCAAAGGTTCACTGTCACTGATGTAGGGTTTAATGGACATGTAATTTACAGTTACAGGAGCAATAAACCTACAGGTCTTGACTAAGCATAACAGTGACAAGGTGAAGAAACCCCAGATTTACAGATCCTAACTTTATTCTGGAGAACAAATTGATTATAATTCTCCCCCCACCCCCAACCCAGCAGCCTAGAATCCCCTTTCCACAGCCAGGCACTCAAGTTGGCCGATGTTTGAGCCATTTATAAATGATGGTTGGGAAATGAACATATAAGCCCCATGCTAAATGATGAGAATCCCCAGAGGTCAGATTTTTGCTAAGAACTGTTCGGCCAGGAAAGGCAGGGTGTAAGCTGCACAGATAATTGGCAGAGGGGTCAGTGTGCCAAGTACCACTCAAAAGGAGAACTGTGGTGCTCATTTTTACCCCTAAGTCTCACGACAGATGAGCCCTCCTCGGGCTTGCTGTTACCACCTCCCTGTAAGCATTTCCCTGGTGTGTGTGTAAAGATGGCATTCTCCCTCCTCCTCCCCTGCCTTAGGTTCCCTGTGACTGACGCATGAGACCATTTTCTCGTCCTCTTCCTGGAGCAGACTTCACAGAATTTTTGCTTACACCTTTGTCTGTAGTGTCTAGGACAGCCTGGCATTGGTCCAGTCTCAAGTAGTGTGTGAATGAATGGGTCCATTAGAAAGACATTTCAGAAAAGAAGTACTTAAACTTGGAGGAACCAGTAGCACCCACATTCAGTGGGAGTAGCAAGAAAACAAAGGACCTGTGAGAACCCAGGTGGAGGGCAAAGTCATGAAGAAATTGCCTACTGTATTTTACTCCTGTTTTGTTGAAGTACTGTCCATGATTGGTTTAAAACCACTTTCTTGCCACTGTGAAAGTCTGTGGCCCTTTGTGTATGTTATCTGTGATGCACTGTGCCCACAATCCCCACTGTGATGTGATCCTGTCGCCAAGGCGAAGGACAATTCAAGTCATCTTGGGACTTTACTGCTAACATTTTCAGTACATCATGCTTTTGTCTTGTTTGTTTCCCTGTGTGTTGACGTTGGTTCACTTTAGTTAAAGAGCAGGAGGAAAAAGGGCAAAAGAAGGTAAACATTCTAAGAGCCTTGTCGTTTCATTGTAAAACTAAGAGACAATGTGCAGCAAACATATGCCCACTATTCAGGCTAAGAAATAAAATACAGAAGCTGTCTACAGAACCATTGTCAATTTCATGCTACTCTTTCCGCTCAGGAAACGCAGTCATCTATAAAACTATCTAGTATTATTATACTAGATGTTTCCTTCTCTCTTTTTTTGTATTGTTTTATTTCAAGCCATCTGAATGGTATCCTGAACAAGATTATCTATGTTTGACCAACTGAAGAGAAGCCTAAAGCTGGCTGTGTGAGGGCAGCAGTGGCTCCCATTAGGCGAAGGCCCGCTGGAGGACACGAACTGGGTCTGACTTGAGCTGCCACCATCTGCAAGATCTCCGTGTGCAGCGGGCAGAGCGGTGATGAGTCCTGGGGAACAAGTCACCACATTTAGGGCACCTGGATCTGAAGAGTTACACAGGGCTGTACGCTTGGCTTATATCTTCTGCTCCTAGGTTACCCCGACCTACTTATCTCCATCTCTCAAGATCAATGTAGATCCTTCTTATGGGATACAAGGAGCGTCCTCCTCTTATCTAAACAGGACGGTGTAAAGGAGATAGACACTCGCTGAGTCAGTAGAGAACAGAAAGGGAGGCGGGAAATATCTTGGTCCTGATAGCCATCAGCATCTCTGTTTCTAGTCATACACCTCCAACTGGGGCTGCTTGCTGTCTGCTTCTGGAATGCCCTTCCCTCCCGCTGAAGTTGAGTTGCCTTTTCCAGTATTTTTCTCATTTGTGGATCATATGCTCCACTAATTCTACAAGAATGTACCTGGAATGTAAACCTTTGAGAAATTGGATGTTTACAAATGTCTTCTACCTTCATATTTAACTCATAGTTAAATGATATAGAATTCTAGGTTGTCGATTATTTTACCTTGAAAGTTTTAAGGATCTTTTCTACATATTTTAATTTCCCAATTTGCTGTTTGGCAGTATGAAACCATTCTGATTCTTAAGTTTTCATGTAACTAGTTCTTTCATTCTTGAAGTCTGTAGAATGTCTCTCTTCAGTGTTTTCAAGTTTTACAGTGATTTTCATTTCTTTCAACCAAGAGGCCTATGTCCTGGAAATTGTGGAAAGTTATTTTTATTTCTTTCATTGTATGTTCTCCTTTTTCTCTCTTGCACTCATTTGATACAGGAGCACCTGGGCTGGTACTCTAATTTGCTTATGTTTCTATCCCATTTTTGTGTCATTTTGCTGTGTTTTCAGGGAGATTATCCTAATTGTCTTCCTACTTGCTGTTGATTTTTTCATTTCTCCTGAAAGCTTTTTAACTTCCAAGAGCTTTAATGTTCCTTTAAATTACTTTTTTGTTTGTTTTGGATTTACAAAGCTAGAGACTTTCTTCAGATCTTTGAAATCCTTGTCTGTTTGCTCATGATTAAGATTTGAGGGGAAAAAACTGCGTGTTCTCAGGGGTGAGAGACTGAGCTTTACTGGAGGATGGGCTTTTTGGAAATCTCCCAATGTCCATATCTTTAGGTATTTCCTAGTACAGTGGTTCCTCAGTTTATTAACTTAATTTGTTTTACGATTTTGGGGAAGATGGCTCTGGTCGTGTGTGTCACCCGATGCAGTTTTCCAATGGAAGCAAATTTACTGAACACTTGTTTGTGAACTGAATTGTTTGCAAGCAGAAGCATTCATGAACTGAGATATTACTGTACAGTGGTTAGATTCCCAGGAAAGTTTTCATTCTACCTCAAAGGCAAGAGTCTGGAAGCCAAGTAGAAGAAGGCAGGCAAAGGTAGTTTCTGCTTTTAGTATCACTCTTCAGGAGCTTATGCACTAGATTTTGTATCTAGGTTTTTCATGTACATCTAGAGAGATGCCTTTACACTCAGTCCTCATAATTGGTGGATTCCCTGTTTGCAATCCACCTACTTGCTGACATTTACTTGTAACACCCAACCTCATACTCAAGACACTTACGCAGTCATTTTTGGAGTTGTACATGGTCATGAAAAAGTCGCCCACCAACCATGTTTCTAGGTGAGGCCAAACTCTGCCCTCTTGTTTAAGCCCTCAAACTAAACAAGTGTTCTTTTCAGGGACTTTTTCTTTTTTTTTCTGTACTTTTTCTTGGTGATTTTATTGTTTAAAATGGATGCCAAGCATGCTGAAGTGCCATCTGTTGTTCCTAAGCATGAGACCTACATGTGCTAGGCCTTATTCAGCCACGAGTTCTACTTGGCCTAAGTTCAGCACTCCTGAGCCAACAATATATATTAGATAGGTATCTCTAAGCAGAAACACATAAAATACAGTTTTGTATTCATTGAACAAAAAAATGTGTGGCCAGAGGCTCGTAGGAAGCTATCCCTGCTTCCCCTGGGAGCAGTGGTTCAGTATTTGCCAACTCAGTGATCACATGACTTCCCAGAACAAAGCTAGAGCAGGTCATGAGAACTGCTGTACACGTGTGCTTAAACGTCTGTGTCTGCCCTGCCTTGTGGTGACTATTGTAGACCTCTTCTGTCCTTGGCAGAGAGTTGACTTGTGCCAGAGACAGGCAAGGGCAGTCACCCAGGGGTTGCACAGAGTGTGTGTGGGAGGGTTATTGAGGTAACTTTCCTTTGGTTTTCTGTATGTTGGCACTCTCATCCTCATTCATCTGCCCCAGTTACCGAGGTGAGCACTGCTTCAAGAGCTCTCATGACTCTTAAAGTTCCATGGTGCAAATCTGGATGGCTCTTAGTTCTCCCCTCCTCTCAGACTGGGGTTAAGAAGGACCAGACATTCTTTAAGACTGCTGTGTAGTGTGAAATCAGTGAGATACTATGTAAATAAATGCGCATGGCTGTGTTCCCATGAAATTTTATTTACAAACACAGGCAGCCTCAGATTTCGAGGCCACGGTTTGCCAACTTGTAGGCATTATTTTAAAATATTTTATTTTGACATAATTACAGTTTCACAAAAACTTGCAAAATAGCACAAAGAGATCTCATGTTCTCTTTATACAATTTCCCCTGAGTTTCATCTTAAATTATCCTAGTACAACATCAAAACCAGGAAATTGACATTGGTACAACGTGTATTCTTAGTTCTATACCTTTTTTAACATGCATAACCACAACCAACAATGAAGATATGAATCTGTTCCATCACACAAAGATCTCCCTCAGTCTATCCCCGTGTAGCTTACAAGGTGTAGCTTAGTGGTAATTACAAGCACTTAACTTCCCAGCCAATTATTCTTACCCCTTGGCAATCTAAATTTTCCATCTCTAATTTTTTAAAATGGTACTGGGAATTGAATCCAGGGCCTTCATACTGAGATGCTTCCCCAGTCTTTTTTAATTTTGAGACAGTCTTGCTAAGTTACCTAGGCTGGGCTCGAACTTGCTATCCTCCTGCCTTAGCCTCCCAGAGTGCTGGAATTATAAGCATGTACCACTGCTCCCAGCTTCATCTGTAATTTTGTCATTTTGATAATGTTAATACAACGCAATTGTGCAATATGCGGCTTTTTGAAATTGACTTTATTCTCACTCAGCATAAAAGTCTATCCAGGCAGTCACAAGTGTCAATAGCATTCCTTTTTGCTGCTGAGTAGTATTCCAAGGTCTGGCCGTACCACTGTTCATTCAGCCATTCATCCAATGAGGGCATTTTTGGCTGTTTAATAGGCTTTGTTTAAGGTTGTAGCAATCCCAGGTCCCATGTAATTCAGTAATTCAGTATACAGTGACAGTTAGTATTAGACCTCATCTCCACTTTGATTCAGCAAGCTGGGGAGGTGCTCCCTTTCTTGTAGACAAGCTTCCAGACTGAACATTGTTCAGAATGTCCAATCCATCCATATACAAGTCTTGAATTGAATCATATTGTATCTTTCAATATGTTAAAGTAATTAAATTCATTTAAAACTCACTAAGCCAAAGGTCATTGATCCTGTAGGGATTTCCAATTGCTTTAAGACTAGTACCGATATAATAGATCTACACTTACAGTATGGTCAAATTCATAGTCTAGATACTTGTAGAGACAGTCTTGGGTTCAAGCCTTGTGTTACCACTTATGACCTGTAGTCTGAGAGCAATCAGTACAAACCCAGTCTGAGGATATAGCCCAGTCAAGCATTTGCCTAGCATGCATGAAGCCCTGGGTTCAATCCCCAGAGCCATCAAAAGAGTACCAACGCTGTTTCACAGGGCTCTGTGAGGAGCAAATGAGAAAACAGCACCATATAGAAAGCACCATATAAATATTACTCTAGTATTCATAAAAATAGATTATCTTTCACTAGTGTCTTAAAAAAAGCAATAGATTTATAATTAGGATGAATAGTTTTATGTGGAAGGTTAGGGTAACTTTGCTGAAAAAAAATCACAGACCCAGTTTTACAGAGTCTGAAGGCTGAAGGAACAGAGGGAGCAAGATTTCTGTGTGCTGAGATGGCTGACCTGAGTTGAAGACACAATACCAATTAGCAGACGTGAGAAGAAAATGTAAATGAATAACGTCTGTAGTGGGCTACCATCTGCTTCCTGTTAGCCAGCCTTCCTCTTACAAAGTCTCTTCCTTGGTTTCCATGATCCCGTTCTCTCCTGCTTCTGGCTTATCATCATCATTTTCTTGGCCACTAAGTAGAGGTTTCCCTAAGGTTCCTCTCCGTACTGCTCTTTCCATGAGTTCTTCCCTGGCAATAGCAGGCCTCTATTTCATTTCTCGAAGCTTACATCTGTGTCTCTGACCCTGACCTCCCTCATTTCCATCCTGCTGGCGGGACGACTCTACTTCAACTCAGTATTTCCAAGGCTGAGGTCATCCTTCTTGCAGTGGGCCTTCTTTGCAAGCTCCCTATTCTGTCCACAGCCCCACCACCTTGGGCTGCCTGCAAACTTAGCATGGCCCTAGGCATTCTCTCCTTGCCACCTCCTAGGCCCTCCCCGACCTAGTTGCCTTGCAAATCCTTGGATATGATGCCTCCCATTTCCTCTTTCCATTCTGGGCCTTTAACTAAACTAAATCCCCCTCTTCTCCTCGCCCCTCCCTTCTCACATTTGTCTTGTGACTTCCACAGCTCTGGAAGCTCCTTCCAACTCAATGTACCTGGTTGCTTCCCTTGTTTGTAGGGTAGAGCCCAGATTATTATTCTAAAATCAAATCATGCTCAGACCACAAACTTTCTAAAAATCATTGCATAATAAACTCCAGATGAACCAAAAGGAAGTATTAGAAGTCTGTAAAGTTTTGCTTCTCCTCTTTCCAGACTTCTTTTATCTTCCAACATTTTGTCCTTTTCTATGCTAGACCCATGTATGGTTTTTCTCAATATTTCTACAGAGCTGTATATAGCAGATTATTAATTATTTGTTGAATGAATGATTGGTCCTATGGTAGAAACTAAATTCTTGTTTGAATTATACCTTTAACTAGCATTTATTGAACACTTTGTGTCAGGTACTCTGAGGCACTTGGGATATAGTAGGCGCAGTCTCAATCTTCAGTTTTAGGAGGAATTCCAAAGGTGTTACCATGGGATCATTTATATAAATAGTTATAAATTTAAAAATATATATATAGCATGTATGTTGTTTTTTGAGAGGAGGTCTTGCTAATTAATCCCAACTGGTCTTGAACTCATGCTGGCCTTGAACTTGCAGCGATCCTTCTGCCTCAGCCTGCTGGGTGCTAGGATGGTAGGCATGCACTATCATGCCTGGCTATGTCTTTATTTTAAGATGTTAACTTTGTTCATATGTCTAAAGCATGGCTATCAGGCACTTCATTGAAATACATATTAACTACTAAATCAAATAGTGATATTCTGGTTGCCAGAAGGTTACAGAATTTACTTGTCTAGTGAGGTAAGTTTATATTAGGAAAGGAAAATGCAGGTGAGTTTACAAAGGGTCTTCCTAAGAGGAGGAAGCAGTTGATGGGGAGGGAAAAGACCGTGAGGATGTTAGGCTCCTGAGGTCACTGCTCACCAGCCATCGCTTCTCAGCCAGGCAATTCCATGAAACTAACATAATGTGCTCTTGACTCTTACGCAGATGGCAGTCAGGAGTTGTTTCCCTGTGAAGTCTGTGGAAGACGCTTTGCAGCAGATGTTCTGGTAAACATAGACATTTTGTAGATGTGTTTCATTGGAGTCAAATGAACTGTCAAGTCAGTGAGGAGGTGGCGGTGCCAAGATTGAAGACAGATGTGGAGGGGAAGGAAAGGAAGAGAAGTACATAACCTACGGCTGCAAGCCCCCAGGACACTGGGGCACATTAGTGCCGCCACATTCAAAAGTGACCCTGTTAACCGTGTTTCTCCTAAAAGCATGCCAAATGGAGGGGTCTTGGCGCAGCTGACTACCCCTTGAGAGGTTTTGGCTCTTCTGCCTTTTCTTTAAGCATCAAAAATTCAAATGTCAAGGTCTAAAACACCAGGGAAATTAGCTAGTCAAGAGGAATGAGCGTTGAATTTCAGGCATCTGGAAACTTGGCTTTTAGCCGCAAATTTGTCACTAATTCTGACAAGTCCTTTAACCTTCCTGGTTTTCACTTTGCCGCATATACAGAATCCCCCAATCTGGGGGGTTTATGGCATTTGAATAAAATAACACAGATGGAAGCCCTCTTCCAAGATCTGTTATCTAGATACAAGCTGTGTGCCAGGTTCCTTGGTTGGTGGCTGTAAAATTGAATAAAATCTTGATCTACTTCATAATTAGGGGGTCAAACAGATGGTAGCCCCAAATATTATAAAGAGATTCCTAGAAACATGACAGGTTAAAATCTTCACTGATAATGCAATCAGGACATTTTATTTTATTTATTTATTTATTTATTTTTTAGTTCCCGGGAATCAAACTCAGGACCTTGCGCTTTCAAGGCAGGCGCCAGAACCACTGAGCTAAATCCCCAGCCCAGGACATTTTAGATCAGGGAGATATATCTCAAAAGATTTGGACTATAAACCTGACTACATTTAGAGGCTACAAAATGAAGTTGTAGGTTTTATTTTTTTCTGGGGAATTTTAAAAGTAAAATGTCTGTTCTCATTAACTATGGTTAGAGCTCTCTGAAATGTTAGGGGGAGCTCTTGGGGCCTATTGTGGCCCTACAGTTCCCCAGGGAACTGCTCTTGCCTTTGCCAGCCAGAAGCTGCACCTCTGGGAGGTCGATGTGTAGAGGGACCAATGAAGGTCTGGTGTGTTTTGGATACTCTTAAATTTCACTCCCTCAGCCTATCTCCAGGCTGCAGAGAGGGTTTGACTGAGCTATCTGACACCCTTTTCCTTTGGTTTAGCATGGGATGGCTTGTTCTTATCTCAGTGTAGTGATTTTTATAGAGCCTACCCTGTGTTGGTTGGGGATAAAGTGACTTTGTAAATGACAGCTATTATATATGGCATATCCATCAAGAAGGGCAAAGTGTTGATGTCATCCCATAGGGACCCAGTAACAGACTTTAGAAAGGTAGTACACAGGCAGTGCTCTAGGTATTGGTTCTCTAGTTTTTGTGCCAAAAATGCTGAGTATTCAAAGCACTGCTGGTTGAAATAAAGAATGTAGTGCTAAATAAAGTTCTGGAGTTAAATATGTAAAAACCGTATTTGAAGTAAACCTTACTTCATTGTTGTATTACCTTTTCATCACTATAACAAAATACCTGAGATGTTCTTACAAGAGGAAAAAGGTTATTTTAACTCACAGTTTCTGAGGGTCCAGTCCATGGTTAGTTGGCCCATTGCTTTGGGCCTGTGGTAAGTAGCATATCATGGCCACAAGAAGCATACAATGGGTCAAAACTGCTCACCTAAAGGCCAGGAAGCAAAGGAGTGCCAGGAGGAATGGGCAAGAGTCTTGTGATCCTTTTCAAGGTGTGTGCCTGGTGACCTAAAGGCCTCCCACTAGGTCTTATCTCCTGCAGGTTCCATGGCTTCCCCACAGCACCACCCCAATACTTGCACTTTTGAGGGACATTCAAGATCCAGGGCCTTTCATTGTCTTTGCCCAAACAGTACTGTATCTAACGTGGTTGAGTACAGCCACATAATTTGCTCTGCTGTGGTCTGAGAGTTAGAAAATGGACTTGGTTGTGAAAGAACAATCCATTCACTGGAGTGGGGACGCTGTAGTACAAAGAGGAATTTAAAAACTCTGTGATTATGCAATTTCCAAAACTGTAATACCTATCCTTCCTTTTCTAGAAAAGACATGGACCAATATGTAGAAAACTCTTCCACAAAAAGCGTAAACTTTTCAATTCCTTGAAGCAGAGATTACAGGGCATGGACATTCCCACTGTAAGGAAGGCCCCTCCATCCAAGGTAATGCCACCTATTTTCAGTCTCTCTGGTTTTGTTTTTGCTTGATAAGGCAGCATACTGTCATTTAAGTGTAATCCACCTTGCTGTTTTCTTTATAATCTTGCTCACTTATATTTCCAAATATATGTCAGACACTTTCCAGATGTGGGTAGAAGAATTTTGTTTATATTGTCATTAGAGCTGTTTTAAACCTAGCAATTAGCTTAGCAAGAATGTCACTTCCATTTGTCTTCCATTAAAGTTTTGTAGTTTCATTGGTTTTCTGATTTTTGTTTTGTGTTTCCCTTCCCTTCACTATTGTGATTTGCAAATTTTATTACTACAGTTCCCAAACCTCTTTAAGTAGCTGTTTTGAAAAACAAATTCTCCTTTCTCTCCCAACTTTATAGTCCTGTTTCCTGTAGATGCAAATCCTAACTTAAAAAAAATTACCCTTGAGATGTGAATAGACTTTGGTAGTGTTTGTTGGTTTTCATTCTTACAGTCTCAACCTGTGAGGAAATCTAACTGGAGACAACAACATGAAGATTTCATTAACGCAATTCAATCCGTAAAGCAGTGCACCCTAGCTGTGAGAGAAGGCCGGCCTCTGCCTCCTGCACCCACTCCGAGTGTCAATCCAGGTGTGCAGACATGCAGGCTTGCTTTCTTCTGTTTTTTCTTTTTTTCAGTGCTGGAGTTTGAACCCACAGTTTAGCTCATGCTAGGCAAGCTCTCTACCCCTAAGCTATAGCCCCCGCCCTTTGGTTTGCTTTTGAGGTGATGCTTAACTTTTGGCCCAATGATTATCCTTCTCTATACTCTAAAATTGACAGTGACATTTACATAGAAGTGATTTTTATCAGTTCCATGAATTGTGTATATTTCCCCTGATTCATATAAAGACTCTCTGGTGCCTCCTCCGTCTGACTCAGAATGAGAACACTGCTGTGCCTTGCTGTGTCATTACGTAGTAGTTCTGGGGACATCATCCATGCCTTGGCTGAGGGGAAGGAATGTGCAGTGTCCTGAGCAGTTCTGCTGTAGTCAGGGCCGCAGCTTGCTTCTCTCTCTCTTTCTTCTGTTTTTCCCTTTCTTCTCTGTCTTTCTTTCTTAATTTGTACAACAAGATTTAGCATTTTAAGTTGTACAATTTAGTAGTCCACTGCTTTTTTGCTTCAGACTTTTTATTTTGGAAATTTTCAAATCTATAGTAAAGAAGGAATAGTACAAAACTTTCAACTGAAATTTGACAGTCTTGGCACTGTTGCCCTCCCTGACCCCTAATCATGGCTTATCTTTAACTATTCAGTAAGCATCTCTTCAGCATATTTTCCTGTGTGTAAGCACAGGAAAATTATAACTGTAAAAATATTTTCCCACATATCCTAAGAAGGTATTTTAAAGCCCTCCCTGCAATTTCCCCTCTTCCCCTGCCATAATCAGGATATGATTAAGGTTTGTGTGTTGTTTTTTGTTATATTTACAATCTTTTAAAAATCTTATAGTTCTACCAGGCTGTTTATCTCTTGAGATGTCTCATGTTCTATCATTGTCTGCTTGCTTAGTCTTATTAGTGTTCGACTTGTTTCTCTATCCCACCTTTCTTTAAGTTGGCAGTTAGGGCTAAAAGCTTGGTTAGATTAATTTTAATCCTTTATCAAATATATGATTCACAAATATTTTCTCCTACCCTTTGTACTGTCTTTTGACTTTCTTGATAATGGCCTTTAATATATAAAATCTTAAAATTTTGATAAAGTCCAGCATATCTATTTTTTATTTTGTTGTTTGTGCTTTTGATGTCATATATTTAAAAAAATCATTGACAAATCTAATGGCGTCTCATGTGTTTTTTGTTCTATAGTTTGAGCTCATATGTTTAGGTCTTTGATCCATTTTGAGTAAAGTTTTATATGAGATGTAAGGTAATGTCTCAACTTCATACTTCTGCACATAGAAAGCCAGTTTTCTCAGCACCATTTGATGAAAAGACTGTTTTTCTTCCACTGAATGGCCTTGGAACTCTTATTGAAAGTCAGTTGACTATATATTTTAGGGTTTAATCTGTGCTCTATTCTGCTTCACTGGTCTACATAGCCATCTTTATGCCAGTACCACACTATTTTGATTACTGTAGCACTATAGTAAGTTTGGAAGTCAGGAATTATGAGTGCTCCAATGTTGTTTTGGCTCTTATGGTTTTGATTTCTTTTTCTGAGGTCTCATGTAAATTTTAGGATTTTTTTCTATTTATGAAACATTTTTGGATTTTAATAGGGATTGCATTGAACCTATAGATCGCTTTGGGTAGTACTGTAATTTTTAGGAATACTGTCCTCCAATCCATGGGCACAGAATGTCATTCCATTTATTTATGTTTTCTTTAATATCTTTCAGGAGTATTTTCTTGTTCTCAGTGTAAAAGTCTTACTCCTTGGTTAAGTTTATTCCTGTGGATTTTATTCTTTTTTATTTTATTGTAAATGGAATTGATAACTTTCTTTTCAGATTATTTATTGTTAGCATATAAAAATGCTACTTATTTTGGTATATTGACTTTGTATGCTGCAGCTTAGCTGAATGCATTTATAGGTCTAACAGTATTTTTGTGGAATTTTTAGGAATCATTACATATGAAATACAGTAAAACCTTGGTTTGTGAGCATAATTCATCCTGGAAACATGCTTGTAATCCAAAGCACTTCTATATCAAAATGAATTTCCCCATAAGAATAATGGAAACTTAAATGATTCATTCCACAACCTAAATATTCATGTAAAGTGATTACAATAAATGCTGTAATATAAAATAATACAGAAAATATAAAAAATAAACAAATTAACCTGCACTTACTTTTTCTTTTTTCTTTTTTTTTTTTGGTACCGGGGATCAAACTCAGGTCCTTGCACATGCACAGCAGGCGGCGGAACCGCTGAGCTAAATTTATCCAGCCCAACCTGCACTTACCTTTAAAAACCTTTGTGGCTGGTGTGAGGGAGATGAGAGAGGAGAGGTATTTGTAGGGTGAATTTCACTGTCACTAATGGAATCATTGCTATATATTGGCTCACTGGAATCTTTTTCTTTTTGTGCAACTTTAACAAGGAACCTATTCAATGACACTTGCTTCTTTTGAGGATTTCAAGGAAATGTGACATTGCATTGTCATTAAACAGATCCATAGCTTGCACTGCTACAGCCTTATCTGAGTGGTGGATCCTTTTCTACACAATTTTGTACTATTTTTCACATCTCCCTAATCTCATTTGAAATGAGGGACTCCTCCACCTTTTTCTGCTCCTCTTCTGAAGGAGACCTCCTCCACAACTTCTTGCTGTTGAGAAAGGATCACTCACAATCCCTCAGAGAGGAGAGACGGAGGCAGAGAATGACACCAGCTCAGTTGTGCTCATGTGACGTTTGACGTCACATACTACTTGCATCACAAGACATGGTTCCTTTATCAAGTTAAAATTTATGAGAAATGTCTGCTTGTCCTGCGTAACGCTCACAGAACAAGTTATCCCCACTCCAAGGTTTTACTGGAACAGAGATAAGTTTGCTTCTCTGTTTCCATTTGTATCCTTTTGTTTTTTTGGGGGGTGTTTCATGTCTGAATCCTCTGCCTAGAACTTCCAAACTATGTTGAAACAAAGTGGCAAAAGTGGGCATTCTCGGCCGGGGATTTAGCTCAGTGGTTTCGCCGCCTGCTGCGCAAGTGCAAGGACCAGAGTTTGATCCCCGGTACCAAAAAAAAAAAAAAAAAAGTGGGCATTCTTGTCTTTTCTTTTTTTCTTTTGAGTATAATGTTGGCTGTGGGTTAAAATTTATTATTTAAGACATTAAAATAATGGCATATTTTGAGGATTATAACATGTGGAAGTAAAATGTATGCAAACAATAGCACAAATTTGAGTCCAGAAAAAGGATATATTATTGTAAGGTCCTTACATTATATGTGAATAGATATAGTACTATTTGAAGATAGACTAGTGGTTACTCTGTACTCAAAAATATTGACTTACAGCTAATAAGGTAATGAATTGAATAGATTAAAATTTAAAAATCAATCTAAAAGAACACAAAAGAGGGAAAAATGGAATGAATGAGATAAATACAAATAGTGAGATGGTAGAGTAAAACTTAACCATATGAATAAGTGCATATAAATGACCTTCACACTCAGATAAAAGATTATTAAGCTGAATAATAAAGAGCCAACTATTGTATGTTTTTCATAAGAAACACTTAAAGAGATACAAGTTAAAAGCACAGGAAAAGGTATCAGGACCTTGTGCTTGCGAGGCAGGCACGGTGCCACTGAGCTAAATCTCTGGCCCCATAAACATAAAACTACAGTGGCCATGCTGATATCAGGCAAAGTAAACTTCAGAGTGAGTATTAACTGAGATCTTGATTCAAAAGATCTATTCAACACAGAGAACTATCAATTCTAAATGTTTTTGTACCCAGTAACAGAGCTTCGAAGAATGTAGAACAAAAACTGACAGAACTGGAAGAAGTAGACAAATGTACAAATATACTTGGAGATTTTATTACTCTTCTTTTAGTATACAAAAGCAGAAGGAAAACCAGTGAAGATGTAGAAAGTTTGAGCAGCAGTATCAGCCAGTTTGACCTAAGTGATATCAGCAGCTACAGTGTGACATGCAGAGTAAGACCAGGCCATGCATTGTTTTCAGATACATGAAACATTTCCCTAAGACAGACTGGGAATCTCAAGAAACTTAAAAGGATCGAAATCATAAAGACTATATTTTCTAATCACAATAAAATTAAATTAGAAATGAAGGAAATATATATCTGGAACATTCCTGAATATTTAGAAATTAAGTCATTTCTAATAACACATGGATCTAAGAAGAAATAACAAAAGAAATTAGAAAATATTTTTTAACTGAATGAAATGAAAATATATTGAAATTTGTGGGATATAGCTTATGTAGTACCTGGGAGAAACTTTACAGCTTTTGATGTTTATATTTAAAAAAGGAAGTTTAAATCAATTATCTTAGACTTTCTCTTTAAAGAGTTAGAAAAATAACAAATTAAACCTAAATTCAGTAAAGGGAAAAACGTAACAAATACAGTTTACCATAACAATTTATTGTTTAAAGCACATGATTATCTCAAAAGATAAAGCTTTGACAGTGTCACATCCATCTGTGTCTGAAACAAAACAAAAACTTCTCAGGAATGTGGAAATAGAAGGGAACTTCCCCCATAAAAGACATCTAAAAATCTACCACTCACAGTACACTCAATGCAGAAAAACTAAGGTCAAAGAAAAAACATAGGTGTCCATTCTGACCACTTCTCTTCAACACTACTAAAGATGCTATTCAATGTCATAAGGCAAAAAGCCAATCAATAGATAATATATATGTATATATAGTATCCACAAATATTATGGCATAAAGATTGGAAAGGTAGAAGTAAAACTACCTTTATTCACAATGTGATCATGAAGGAGTAAATGTAGAAAACCCTAGTGAACTGCAAAAAAGCTACTAAGAACAGTGAATTTGGTGAGGTTTAAGGATGTAAGGTTACACAGTAAGCCAGTCATAATGGCCCTGCCTGTAATCCATCTTCTCAGGAGGCAGAGGCTGCTGAACT